TTCAGCTCCCAGCTGCAGTCCCACGCTCCCCTCCCCGCGGGGCTGCGCCTGCGGGCTGTGCTGCTGGCGGCCCCACTGCACCAAACCTCTCCATCACGCCGGAGGAGAGCACGGTGAGGGTCCCAAACCCTTTGGGGAGACCCACGTGAGTGGCTCGCCTCTCCAGCACGGGGCAGAGCAGGAGAGGGGTCGTCCCCCCAGCACTCGCACGGTCCTCCCTCCCCTTCACAGCTGGAAGGGGTACGCCACGCTGTTCACTTACACCACAAGAAACAGGGCACCTCGGAAGGAAATTTAATCCTAACCACCTATTATCTGATCAGCTCCAATCTCTTTATCAGCCCAATTAAAAGAATTACCCATCTGTGGCCCGGATGCACGTATTGTGCACTTGTCTCTGTCAGCTCTGGAGCCAATTACTCCACCCTGCTTTAAGGCAATTACAAGGTACAGAAATAAGCCCGTTGCAGCACCCAGGAGGCTAATGTGCCGTAGCTTCAGGGCAAACTCAGGGTCTCACTCCTCTTTTGCTTAAAAACCTCTCGGGATCCATCTGCAGCGAGATGCCCACGAAGCCCTGCATGCCAGCCCCGAGGACAGATGGGCTCCGGGGGTGTCAGAGGAGGCAAGAAGCATTTGGTGCTGCTGCACTCTCCTGTTTCTTGGATCCTCCTCTGAGGGTGTGCCTCCTGCTGTTACTGTGACTGGCCTGAGCCACCGACGGCCTCGGAGGAACTGAAGAGCCGAGCAGCGTGTGCCCAGCTCAGGAGATCTCTCTCCTCGCAGCCAGGGCTCTCCAGATGCAAGGCTTCATCTCCCCGTGCAAAGTTTCCTTTCCACTTTTTTTCCTGGCCAAACAGGCTCTGGCTGAGCTCCAGAATCCAAGGGGGTGCAAATTTCTTCACCAATCGCTGTTCGAAAGCGCTTCACGGATGAGTACTGACTGTACTTCTCCAAAACAAAAGGAGAATAAGCACCTTACCCCGCAGTTCCCTCTGACGAAGTGGAACTCGGTGCCACCTTCTGCTCTGCTGTTGAGGTGGGCACGAATTCGGCAGCTCCCAGCAGCTCCCAGCCAATTCTCCTCCACGCCTTCGGCCCACTCTCCCCACCCACAGGTGCGTGCGGGGGTTTCTTCCTTCCTCGCGGCCTTTGGGAATTTCTTCTTCCTCCCCTACAGCTTTTCACAGCTCTGAGTGTTGTATTCGGCATCCAGGGGGAACCAAGTTCCTCCCACCAGTGGAAGAAGAGCAAGCGATGTATCCAAGCACTGAGCAATTCGAGGGGCATCTCAAGGCGCTCTGCAGGGCGTGCTGGCCTGGCCAGGTCCGCGTTTCCTGCCCATCCCACGCATCTGCACCACACAAACCATCCACACGTGGAGAATTTCCCCATTGTACTCAGAAATAATGGCTTGCTCAGGGACACGTGAACCCCCAGGAGCCAGAGACACCCGCTAGTACTGGGGAGAGGACAGAAACTGCAAGAAGCTCCACGTGGCTGCTGCCGAGAGCTCTGAAACCAGAGCAGAGGAAAGCAGCTCTCGCTCTGGGGTGGAGTGACCTTGCAAACCCTTCACTCCCAGCTCTGGTGTGGCTTTGTGGGGTGTGCTGTGCAGGCTGGCAGCAGGGCCCTTCCCCTCTGTATAGGGCCTGTGAGACCGCGCTGGGAGCACTGCCCAGTGCTTCCACCCCCCTGTACAAAAAGATGCTGCAAGTCAGCAGAGGGCCGAGACGGCCGGGGCAGGTTGGACCAGATGGCCTCCAGAGGTCCCTTTGTACCTAAATTAACCTCGTTTTTACACACCTCTGGATGTGCAGGGTCACTCCACTTACGTGGGTTGAGCATCCCAAAAATCAGGTGAGTGCCAGGACCCTGGGGAGGAAGCGGTGGCATGCACCTTGAGGACACCTGGTCAGGGTGTGTGAGCAAGCCCAGAGCAGGGCAGACGAGGACTGGGAGCAGCCTGGGAGCAGCAGAGGACTCGCACGGCCACGGCCTCACTGCTGCAGGACTGCCGAAATCGTAGCTGGAGCACGAAGCACGTGCACGAGGACGGGGACAGAGCGGTGCTGGGAGCATGGAAACAAATCCTCCAGACACGAGGCTCCGACTTCTCCAGGAAGGAGCCTGGGGTCAGCGAGGGCAACGCTTCCCAACTTCCCATTCCTCATGCCAACAGTTCGCAAGGAGAAAAACGCAAACTCATCTTCCTCCATCCCCACCAGTCCCACACCCTCGGGCGGCTTCGGCACACCTCGGCCAGCCGCCTCCTTCGGGCCAGCACCTCTGGGGGACCCAGCGCCTTGACAGCGAGACGCAGACGGCTGCCGAAAACTCCTGGGAGCAGCCAGAGGCTGCCTGGAGATCCTCCAGCAGAGCCCAAAAGCTGCTGCCCACCTCGGCCCCTCTCCGCGGGGTGCACCCGGGGCTCACCCCGCACCCGGGGGCAGGTGCCCGGCCCTGGTGGCGGCCAGCTCCGTGCACAGGGGGGCTGCAGCACCACGGGGGCTGCTCCCCGTGCCCTCTGTGCCCCTCGTACCCCCCGGGAGCCCCCTCCCGCCCCCGGGGGCCGCTGCTCACCTGCGCCCGAAGAGCTTGAGGCCGGTGAAGCGCTTGTTGCTGTGCCGGCGGCCGGGCGGCGGCGGCCCCCGCTCGGGCTCGGCACCTCCCGAAGCCCCCGCAGCGGTGGCGGAGGAGGAGGAGGAGGAGGAGGAGGAAGGCGAGCCGCCGGGAGGAGGGGGCCCGGCCGCCTCCATGGCCGGGCTGGGGGGGCTCGGAGCCGCCGCTACCGGCCCGCAGCCCCGCGCCGCGGCTCCATGCGAGGGGAGGGACGGGAGGAGGAGGAGGGCAGGGAAAGGGAAAGGAGGGAGGGAGAGAGAAAAGGGGGCGGCGCTGCCACCCGCCCCGCCGGGCCCGGAGCAGGGCAGGAAGTACCGGGGGCACGGCCGGGCCGCCAGCGCCCCCTGCTGCCCCCCGGCACCGGGCACCGGGCACTGGGCACCGGGTGGCAGCCAGGCCCCGCTGCCCTCCCCCGTCCCGTCCCGGCTCAGGAAGCCCAGTGCCGGCCCCGCCGCCGCCCCCGCGCTCGGGAAGAGGCCCCGGAGCCTCCCGCGTCCTCCCATTGTTCGCCCGCTGGCCCCAGCCCCGTGGCACGGGGATGGGGATGGGGACGGGGCAGTGTCCGCAGGCGCAGGGCGCCTTCGTCTCTCCTGTGCCAGGTGGCGAGGGCAGCCCTCGGTCCTCCTTTGCATGGCAAATGAGCCATGGAGCTGGTGGGGAGCGGGGCACGGAGCCCGCACCAAAACTCGGCTCCTGCGGGGCTGCCGGGGTGAGGCCCCCGCTGCCAGCACAGTGCGGCGTGTGCTGAGCCCCCAGCCCTGCGCTCCTCTGTTCCTCAAGCAGGAGCCCTGATGGGAGAGCATGCAGGGTGCTGGCAGGGGCTTCGAATCACCCCTGCTCCCATGGGGAAGGCAATGGGCTCACGTCAGCAGCGTCCACGCATGCGGCCCACCAGCATCCCTGCTGCCGAGGCTGCACCGGGAGAAGAGGAGGGGGCTGCAGGCGAGGAGCCAGGAGAGCCCAGGGGAACCTCTCCCCCTCCCCAAAGCGCGGGGTGCCAGCGCTCAGCCCCCCAGGACACCGTCTCGGCAGGTACCTCATGCTGGTGGCCCCTGCGGGGCTCTGGGGAACGTCCCAGGAGCGGTGCCGCCACATCTGCCGCAGCACGAGCGGGTGCTGCTCAGCCAGCCCGGGCTTCACTCTCGCTCTTCCTCCCCCGGCGGCTGTTTTCCGGAGTCATCCCGAGGGCAGGTCCCTGGCAGGGCTCCGCCACCCGGTTGCGGTGGCGTGGGCCCCGGCTTTGTTTGCACCCTCCACCTGGTTCCTCTCTCTCTGCACTTCCTGGAAGTGCGAGGGCGGCTGTCATTGCGGCGCCGCGCTCTTCCCCCCGCAGCCCGCGTCCTGGGGTGAGCTCTCCTCTGGAGGAGCCTCGCGAGGCCGCGGCCGGACGGCGGCTCTCCGGACATCCTCCGTCCCTGCTCGCCCTGCGCCGGGCACTGGTGAGGGGACGCGGCCAGGAGAAGCAGGTCCGGGCACCAAAGCTGCAGGCCCGGCCTCCAGAAGGTGAAGAAGCTGCCTCCAGTTCATAATCCATCGCCTGGGCCGCGTCTGCGGGGTGCAGCATGGAGGCCTGGCACGGCCCCGGCTGCAGAAAGCTCAGCACTGTGCAGCCAGGCTCTGCCCGGTGTGCTCTGCCTCCAGCAGGCCTTTACAGGAAGAGGGTGCCCATGGGGAGCTTCCATGGAGCTGGGGAACCGAGCAGAGCCGCTTCCTGGGGAGGGTATTTCTAAAGGGTGCGCGGTATGCTGTTAGACTGCATCATCAGAAGGGGTTAAAAGCAACAAAAGGCATCGAAAGGCCTTGATCTCGCTCAGCTAGCTCTGAAACCGAGCACAGCCCACTTCACCGGTTAACGTGCACGGGGTGGAAAAGGCAGGTCCCGAACGCCCTGCTCCAGCTCAGAAACCTCGCGGAGGGAGGGGAGCGGCTCTGTCACCGCAGCTGCCACCGAAGTGGCTCGTGGGCTCTGCCGCTTTGCATGTGATGAGGGCTTGGTCCCGTCCGCGCTCTGCCCGCAGACATTTCCCTTTCAACGTCTCACGCCCTGCCCTGCGGTGCTAACGTCCAGCCCCGTACCCAGGGGCACGCTGGTGGCACTGGGAGGGCAGCACACTGCACCTGTGGTCACAGTGCTCGAGCCACCGTGCCCCTGCCTGGGCTGGAGGAGGTCGTGCCAGCCCCTGTTTGTGGGTTTTGGGTGCAGGAAGATGCCTCACGGGAAGCGGTGCAGGAACCCAGGGCCCCGTTGTTCATCCCTCACCGTCCTGCTCTGCCCACACGAACCTGCTGTCCCGAGGAGTTTCGTGACGCTTTGCATATGCACGCATGCAAATCTGCACTTCCCAGGAAGGAATCTGATAATCTGCCCTGGGGTCACAACGTCCCTCCCTGCCCCAGGACGTGCGCTGTGTCTGTTTGTCCTTCCCTCCATGCAAAACCAAAACAAAAAAAGATCCAGTTCTGTTTGTTAGGAGACCAGCGGGCAGGGAAGCGTTGCTGGGGGGGCCAGGAGCATCCCCACTGTCCCTGAGCGGTGTAAGGCAAGGCATGTGGCTGGGGATGGGGCTGCCCTACACCTTCTTGTCACCCCCTACCCAAGTCTGCGAGGAGCTGCCTGCTCTGTAAGGTTTGCCAGCGCTGCCAGCGTCCCCCTGGCCGTGCCCGGGGTGCCAGCCACCTCCTCCCCCAGCTGCACGGAGGGACGCAGAGACAGATGTCTCTGTCAAGGCAGAGCAGGCTTGGCTTGGTGGGGATGAATGGGAATTTGATTATGCTGCTCGGCACAGCCTGGCTAACGCGATTAACGGGGCAGCAGAGAGGATTCAGGCTGTGGAAGGAGGCAGCCTTGCCGCCCCCTCCCCTCGCAGCCCACCCGTTCTCCCAGCCCCAGCACTGCCCAGCTGGGACGGGGATGCTGTGCACCCTCTGCTCCCAGGGTGCTGAGAAATCCCCATTTCTGCTGTCCCCACGCAGGGACTGACACCCTGTCCACCTGGAAGACAGCACTGGGGAACCCTATCGTGTACCCGCACCATGGCTGGAACAAGCCCACCCTCCTCTCCCCTCTGCCCTGCCCTGCCCAGGGTGACCAAGCTCGCCCTCCCTTGCTATTTACATTACAAAGCCCCTCTGCTCCGCTCTGGGTTATATTTAGCTCCCCGGCACAGAACAGCCTGTGAGATGTTGGCGCATCCTATCCACCCGCGTGCCGAGCAGCTGGGGCGCCCCACATCCCTGCTTTGCTCCGTGGGGTGCAAAAGGCTGGGCTGGGGGGCGCAGGGGGCACAGCAGCCCCTTTTTCTGACCGCCACGGGGTGCCTGTGCCAAGCCCCCCGAGGTGACAGGAGCCGGGGCTGGGAGCAGGAGAGCAGAGGTCTGGCTCCCGGCACGCTCCTTGCCCCATGCGTGTGGCCCGTGCAGCGAGCGCTGTGCGCTGTGGTTTCCTTTCTGCATAAACACCCCCACGGGCTGCGCTGCTGGGCGCAGCGCTGCTGACAGAAGGCCATTGCTGCAAGCCTCACCCCAAAGCGAGGCAGAAAGATGAGAGAGAGCCCTGAGCTGCTGCGCTGTGCAAGTGCTGAGCTGTGGGGTGCTGCGGGGCATTGCCCAGGGCCGAAGGAGCTGCCTGGCTGGAGCTCCCCCAGGCTGTACCCGCTCTGCGAGCTGGAGATGCTCCTGCCCCACTGCCACAGCACCACGGAGACACCTGGAGCAGGAGCTGGTGTGACATGGGGCTCTGACCGAGCTCCTTGGCCCAGCAATGCTGGCAGCGAGGCACAAATCCCAGCACTTGTCCTGGGCTTGCAGCGGTGACAGGGAGCACGGGGCCCTCCTGGCGCCGCAGAGGCACCTCCCTCCAGGCGAAATTGTCCCAGAATCTGCAAAGCCGGTGCACAAGCCAGCATCATTAATAAGCTTGGCACGGAACTGCTACTCAAAGCCCTAAATATAACCTGAGTGCTGAGCTCTGTTCCACCCGCCCAAGGCGCCTCCGTACACCACGGCAGCTATTTCTGGAAGGAACGTTATTTCCATAGGCTTAATATCATTTCTGCTCATTTCAAACCCTTTATATAGTGGCTAACGCCGCCTGCCCCTCGTGATGACTAATGAGTCCCAGCAGGAGCAGGCAGCTTGGCAGCGGGAGAGCTGGGGCCTCCCACCTTCGCTTGACATTGAGGACACCGATGATGACCATGGCCTTCGGAGCAGGGCCCCCAAACTCCTAAACGGGGTCGGGAAGTGCCTTTGGCTCCATGTGGTGGTGTGGTGAGGGGGTTTCTGCCGCCCCCCTGTGCCAGGTCAGCCCAGTTCTGGGCACCAGCTGCTCCGGGCAGCAGCTCTGCCCCCGCCTGCCCCCCACCTGGCACAGGAACCAGGAGCAGCTGGTCCCAGCCCCGTGTGGGCGGCACAAGCAGATTTTCACCTCCAGATACTTCCTCTCCTGTTTTCTCTTCCCTTTGCCCTGCTGCCTTGAACTGGATGGTCGGGGCAGCAGCTCAGCCTCCTCCCTGGCACGGGCCAGCAGGTAGCTGCGGGTGCCCTCCACCCAGGAACACCCCAAGGAGCCCCACTGCGGGGGGACAGGAGGACAGAAGTGTTTTGGGGAAGGGCAGCGCGGGTCGGAGAGGATGAGCAGAGCCCTGTGCATGGGGTGGCTGGGCTGGGAGCAGCAGGATGTAAACAGTCCCCTGCAACACCGGACAATTCTGGAGCGAATTCAGGCTGATCAAATTAGGTTGCAATATGTTCCCTTCCTCCCCTGGGGAGGCAGGATAATTGCAGCTGGCTAATCCGTTCGCAGAGCGCACGGCGCACATCTGGAGGAAGACAGCGAGGAGAAGAAAATCCTGCTCGGCTGCTGCGCTCTGCACATCCATCCATCTCTCTTCCTTGGCATCACAGCGGGGCAGAACCCTCCCCGGTCTGCTGGGCGCCTCGTGGAGCAGTCCCGGGCACCGAAGTGGGGCCAGGAGCGCTGCCCCAGCCCCAGCTCCCACAGCCAGGCACTAATTTGGTACGGGCTCTGCCGCCCCTGCTCCCGCTCGCCACCCACTGCAGGAATAACAAGTGCCTGGGATGAGTCAGCCCGGGGCCCCTCCTGCTCTGCAGGCACTAATTCGGTTTCCCATTAGTTCCCATTACCGCAGTATTAGAGAGCAACTCGCTCCCAGTTTGCTCGGCAGCCCTTGTAAGGGGGGAGAAGGGCTGCTGCACGCTTGGGAGCCAAGCCAGGAAGTGACCGAGTGTGTCCCGAAGCACAAGAAACCTCTCTCCCAGCACAGCTCTGCACCCCGCGGCCCCAAATCCCCGCAGCAGGCACTGTGTGAGCACTGCAGGACGCGCTGCCCAGGGACACGCTTCGTCCGCAGCAGCTCTGCTGGGCTGCAGCCGTGCTGGGGGAGGCACAAGCAGAAAAGTCACGCCGAGAGCCAGCACAGATCCTCCTCGCACTGCAAAGAGCCCCCGCAGGCTTTTCAGCCTCAGCCCCTTCACCTCCGCATCCCTGCTCCCAGCTGGGAGGTCCCCATGTCCCCGTGCATGGACAGGGCAGTGGGATGGGGTGACATGGCATGGCTCAGCGGGGCAGGGAGACCCCCAGGAGGTTCCTACAGGCTCATCTTCTTGGGAACAACCAGGGCACAGCGATGCAGGACGTCTCTAGCGGGCAGCTACCAGTGGCCACCCCCAAGAGCCAGCCCTGACCCCGATGCAGCGAGAAACCCGGGTCAGGTCCCGCGGCACCCCTCCACCCCAGCCCATCCCGGGGGCTCCTACCTGTAGGACACCTGCTTTCTGATGGCCACGTGCAGGAACTGCTCCTCCACCTCCGCCACCGCCACGGCCCCTCGCATCTCCTCCCAAGCCGGGTCCACGCCGCGGAGGCCCAGGCTTCGCTCTCGCCCGCTGCTCTCTGCGCCCGCCGCTCCCAGGGGGCTCGCTGCAGCCCCCCTGGCCCCCTGGCCATCACCCCTGGCCGGGGTGAGGTCTCTCCAGCTCCCGGGACCTTCTGCCATGCTGGGGCAAGACGCTTCTCCAGGCAGGGAGCCGCGCTCGGCTCGGTCTCCCCAGGGCCTTGGGTGGATGCCGGTGAGGCTTCGCTCCCCGGGGGAGCAAAATCTCAGGGGAAAAGTAGCGGAGCCGCCGTCCAACTTTTCGCCGTGCTTTCTTTCGGCCTCTGGGCAGCACTTTGAGGGGCTCAGCCTCCGTCTGCCTCCCTGCCCTGCCTCAGCGAAGCGGAGGAGCGGCGGGCAGAAACCTGCCGACGTCGGTGCCGCGGCTCTGAGGTGCCAGGGCAGCAGGGGAGCGCGGTGCCGGTGGGGAAAGGGGTCTCAGGAGAGAGACCAGGGGTGAAGGAGAGCCCGGGCTGCCTGCTGGGGGGGACCAGGGCCAGGCGCGTCCCTCGGCGTCCCCTGTGGCAGCGGGAGAGGCAGGGAGAGGCTGGCAGCGAGGAAGGTGCCTGTGCACCGATCCTGCAGAAGCCCTCAAAAGACAAAGCAGAAAGCGAGCGGAGCGTGAGCGTGTGCGTGGGGAGGGGGGCTGCGGGGAGCGACAGGAGCGTGGTGTCACCTTAGAGACACTCGGAAACTGGCACTTAACCCTTCGGGGGCCGGGGAGGCTGAGGAGGGTGAGGACGGCAGCCATCCCTCACTGCTCACAGTCCAGCCTGCCAGGGCTGCTCACCCGATGCGGGTGTGTGCAGTGGGAACCCCAAAAAACTGCAGGACAGCAGCCCCAGCAGAAAAAAGGATCTGCTGCTCGGGGTCCCAGTCTCTTCATGAGCCCGGTCCCAGCCACGCCAGCTGGGCTGAGAGACCCCTGCACGGCTCCCATATGTGCCTGGCATCTTGGTTGGGATTTGCTCTGCCCCCTGTTCACACACCGGGGCTCTCTACCTGCTGGGCACCGGCATGTCAGTGCTTGGGGTCTGGGGCTGCCACCCACTTGCCCCAGGGACCCGTGCGCTTTCCAGGACCGGCTCTGCAGCCCCCAGGCCCCAAACCCACACAGTTGGGACTTGGGAGCCCTGAGCCCTCCTCGCAGCGTGACTCAGCCTCTCCAGCCCCCACAGTGGGGTTGTTCCCCCCCACAGCCTTCCCCTGGGCACCTGGGGGAGCTCCAGTGCCCCACTGCCTCCTGCTCACAGCCCTCGTGTCCCCCTACATGTCACATCAGGGCTTGTAGACCCACCCTCACCCGGGCTGGCCGGCCAGGGATGCAGGATGTGGGTCTTCCTCTGGGTTTTATGACACATTCCCAGGGCTGCCAGAGCTGCAGTGCCTATTGGTGAGTGCCTCTGGGCTGCCCACGGGGCTGTTCCTGCACTACAGGAAGCCTCTATGGGAGGAGAAGCAGGGCGCAGGGGATTTTGCCCTTTCCATCCTTCGGTGTGGGCACGTGGCACCGTGCAAGGACAGCTCGGTGTTTCCACACACACCCCTTCCTCCTTTCAGCTTCTCCCATCACAGGCAGGGCAAGCACTCCCCGGGCAGCAACGTCTGCAGTGAGTAAAGCCCCGTGAGGGCGCAGTCTCCTCTGCCGGGCACAAGACGAGAAACCTCCACCAGGCCAGCAAATCCACACGGACTCACGGCCCCAGCTCCATCGCCACGAACAAGCACCATGCACTAGGGGGTGTGAGGAGGCCTGAGCACCTCCCAAGGTAACCGAAAGCTCAGGCTCCTTGCCCGGGAGCAGGAACAAAGCCTGCACGTCCCAGGAGGGATCGGCACGAGGACGGGCGGTACGGTCAGGTACAGCCCCGAGCAGTGACACCGGGAGGGAACACGCTGCTCTCAGGGAGCGGGGACGCTCTGCTGGAAGCCCTAATAGCTCACGTCCTGCTGTAACAAATCAATGTTCCCAGGGACCGCTGGTGGCCCAGCGGTGAGCTGCAAAGGCAGTGCTTTTTTTTTTTTCTTCTTTTTTTCTTTTTTCTTTTTTTATTTTTTTTTTCCAAGTTGGCCTGGTAACAGAGAGCAGTTGGGAATAACTTGTCTCTGCAAAAGGAAGACCATGTTCTGTCAGGGCTCTTTTGTGCAGGGCTTGTACGTATTGACAGCGCGCAGCCTGCCTGCGAACACGACCCTGGGAGGGAAAAAGCCCAGCCTGGAGCGGCAGAGCTTGGCCGTGGGCACCTGGAGCAGAGCGAGTGCAACGCAGTGAGGCTGGAGGTGACCTGTAAAGAAGGTGCCCCTCGCTCTGCTAATTCCCTCCTTCTGCTCTAATTACTTGCTGTAGCCAAATTGGTAGGTGCGATTGGCTGGCTGTGTTTTGGGAGGCAGAGCGAGAATCAGAAGATCCTGATGTGCCTGCTTTGAGAGGCTCAGAGCTCTCTGGTAGACTGCAGAATTGAGAGGATTTGTCTGGATGAAGGGAAATTTGTGACGGAGGGGGTTCTGGTTGCTCTGGCTGCATCAGTGTTTAAGGGGATGATGCCGGATAAATCATCCTCTTAAGAGCCTCCCCTTGGCATTTCAGAACATGAGTGAAAGGCTGGAGCCAGGCTCTCCCTGGAAGGCAGTGCCCTGAGAGCTCGGGGATGTTTCATGGGGGCGAGCCAGGCAGGAGCCCTTTGGATGAAGCCTGGCCCCGCAGTGGGACGGTGGCTCCGCATCACTGACCCAGGCAGGAGGCTGCTTTTGGACAAGGTGCTTAAAAATGAGCCTTCGAGCAGCTCTGAAGCCCCACTGCCTCCTGCTTGGGCTCCCTTCCAGCCGTGGAGGTGCTGATTGTGAGATGGAGTCATTTCAATGCCCAAAGCCTAACAAACCCAGTGGGAGCTCTCTAGAAAACGAAGATTCATTTTCTGGACCCCCCGCTGCCTTGTGTTTCACACAAAATCATGACAAAACTAATCAGTTTTCACAGATGTAAATGGACTATCGGAGGTGCAGGCTAACAGGCAGTCAGGGCTCAAGCTGTTCTGATCTAAGTGCAGCCGTTCTGCTTTTAGTTAACTGAAGGATTAAAGATTTTTTTTTCTTTTTTCTATTTTTTTTTTAGTTGGGACAGAACCAGAGCCATGGCACTATGAGCAGTGTCTTTGTTGTACAGACCCTGCACAGACCCTTCATCAGAGAAGCTCACTGCACCCCACAAACTTTCTTCCACGCTCTTCCACGAGGACAATGTTAGCGATATTGTGGAGAGGGAGAAAAAACGGAGCCGTAACAGTTCTGATGTGCCCAGAACTGCAGAAAACCTCATGGTGCTGCTGGAAATAAAACATGCAAGTTTGCTTCCAGCCCAAAGGCTGAGCACGAGGTCCCGGTGCTGAGCCAGTTCTGCATGCAGCCGGCGAGTGGGACAGCCGGGGAGCACGAGGTGAGAAGCTGTGCGCGTGGGCTGCTGTGACAGCCGTGCTTGAATGAAAGGATCCATCAGCCCAGGATTGATGCTGCATCTTTTTATTTTATTTTTATTTTGCTTCTCTAAGCGAATGCAGAGCAAGTGACAGGAGGAGAGGAAAAGGTGGCTTGAAAAGCAAAACAAAACAAAACAAAACCAAAAACTGGAGGGAAGAGGCAGCTACTGGAGTATAAGGGGAAAGTGAGCTGCTAACAAGAAGGAAGTCCATAGATGCCAAGCCCGCACTAACTCTTAATAAAATACAATACTGAAAATAGGATCTGAGAGTCTCCAAAATACAATATCTTAAGGGATCGGCAATAATACAAAATAAGGTTCATTATGTACAAACGAGTTCTGCTCTTGGTCTCTGTACAACGGTGTGAGTGGGAGGCACGGGGACGTGCACGTGGACGTGTTGGGGGGGAGGAGGGCATGCTTGGACCCGGCAGTGGTTCTTTGCACTGGGGCGGAGGACGGGGAAGGCAGTGGGATGTGGTGACCAGCGGATCCTGTGTGAACCCTGAGAGGAGAAGAGCTGTGCTGGAGCTTTTCTTGTCCCTCCCACTGGCCAAGCGTGTGTGGTGGCAGCTAGCTGTGTCCAAATTTGTCCTAAATGGCTTTGGGGGGGGGGCAAAAGCAGTTTTCAAAAGAGAGGAGAGAGAGGGATGTGAGGGCCCTTCCCTCACTTCTTCCAGTCCTTGAGTAAGAGCCGTCCCATCCTTTCTCTCCGGGGGAGAGGCTGGTGGGGAGGCTGGGGCAATGCAGAGCGAGTCTTGAAGAGAAACCAGCCAAGGGGGTGTCTGCTGTGAGACCTGGCGGAGCACACAGGGACTCCCGCGTACAAACACGGGGCAATCTGCTGCGTCCCAAATCTCAGGCCCTCAAGTCCCACATTGTCCTTCCAGCAAAGAGCAGCTGAGCGAACGGAGTGGGGAGACACTTGAGCCTTTCAGCAGAAGAAGGGAGGAAGAAGGGTCAGAAGTGGATGTCTGGGTGCTAAAGAGAACAGAACAGCCTTGAGATGAGGTCATTTCAGCACCAAACTTGGCAAGTCCGGCCCGAAGGGTGGTATGGCGAGAGGTTGGTACCTTTGGTGCCAGCACTGAGAAGGAGGAGGTCTAAAACAGTCTTTGGTTACCCTGGCCAATTCCAACATGCCACCTCTTTGCTGACAGAAGCACCCGTCACCAGAGATGCCAGCACGTCCTCAGTGGCTTTCACAACACTGCTGGGCACACAGAGGATGTGAGGGGAATGATGGCTCGCTGACAGCCCTCCAGAGCTCGTGTCGATGGTTCCTAGGAAGACCCCATTTGGCATGAAGCAGAAGTGGGGATGGAGAGCTGTGATAAGGAGCAGGTTATGGGACTGAATTTCTGGCACCTGCTCTCAAAGCAAGGGGGTGTGCAGAACGGGAAGTGGGAAAGCCACTGACCTGGTTAGTGGTGCACTGCAGGGCCCAAGCTGGGAACAAAAAGGGAAATGCCACCCCTGCCAAAGCAAGGGTGCCGAGGGCGGGGAGAAGTGGGCTGTGGGTGAAAATCGTTCTCTGTTTCAGAGCTCTGGCTGCCCAAAAGCTGCCAGTAAATTTTCATGGTGGCTTATCTCAGTCTGGGATCTGTCTCCCCCACTCCGTTTGTGTGCAGATCTTTGCAGATAGTTGGCGTGGAAGTTATGTAGGCACATCCATCAAGAGAAAAGTAGAGCAAGGAAGAACTAGTTTTTCTCTCAACAGAGGCAGAAGTATACTAACAGATGGAGGGGAAGGAATGAGCTCAAACTCTCCAGAATCATCTCTCTAGCCCCAGCATCACCCACTCCTAAGTCCCTCAGGCAGGGCAGAAAATCCAGCACTCTCTCTCTCTCTCCTTCAGGTGCATCTGGTGTAGCCAAGGGGTACGTGCCTGGGGACAGGCCCCTCGGAGGCTTTGGGGAGTGAGCTGAATAGTTTGGGTGCCTCCCCCTGACCTCCCTCCACTCCAAGGTGAGCCCACACCCATAGGGTAGTGCTCATTCAAGCAGAAGATAAGGCCAGGAGGAGAGGGCGTCTCAGGACTTTGCCAGGCATTTATTGCTGGTTCTGGCAGTCCTGAGATTCCCCTCAGAGAGATAGATCAGTACCATAGGGGGCCATGGGGAAGGGGAGGAGCTGAACCCAAGGCCGGTTTAGGAGTGTCTGAATGCAGTGTCCTCTCCTGCCAAGTCCCCTCAGTTGCTCGGTGAGGAGGGAATCCTGCAGTCAGACAGATGAGGCCTTGAGGTCCAGCAGCTGCTACAAGTATTCAGTTGTCTCACTGGAACTTGTCTCCCTGAGAGAAAAAAAAAAAATAAGACAAGGCATCAGTCAAGGTTCATTGCAGCTTCCCAAGCAAATTCACCTCTCTGCCCTGTTCTGCTCTGACTGGGACGGAGCTCTTCCCTGTTACACGGGATGTCCAGAAAACCTGGGACCACCTGAGTCACCCATCCTCAGCTTTAGGCCAATGGGATACCGCTTTACGGAGCCCCAAATTTTGCTCTAAAAAACAGTCTTGGCCTTATGCTCTCTTCCAGCATTGGCCTCCTCTAGCTGTTGCTCCTTAGCATCCTGTCCCAGGGAGCTTGGCTACCCTGAGCTTGCAGAGAAGGGGATGTGCCTGCTGGTCCCTCCCAGGTGCCATGCTGTGGTTTGGGGCTGGGAGTGGGGCCCCCACCTGCTTACCTCTCGTGGAATTGCTCTTTGAGGTGAGTGAGAGTTGGGTCAGTTTGGTTCTGGTCAGGACTCTCCAGACGGGATTTGCTCAGGTATTTGGCTGTCTCATGTGTCCTGGCCAGATGAGGCCTTGGCTCGTCAGACTGCCCTTTTTCGGCCTCCCACCCCTCAGGATGGTCCATGGTTAGGAAGGAGCTATAGCTCTCTTCTAAGGAGCCAGCACCTTCATCATAGAACAGGAGGCTCCGTGACTGAACTGCAAACAAGGAGAGAACTGGTTAATAATGAGGACGAGGTGTTTTGCAAAGGGTGTGGGTCGCGGTGGTGGTTCAGCACATGCTCACGCAGGAGGCCTGCTCTGCAGGATACCCTGGGGGCAAGATACCCTTGGACACACCACCTCTCCAGAGGGCAATCAGTCTGCCCTGGGGCTTTTCCCTCATTTCTGCATAGCCTTTATTATTTGTCATGTTTTAGGACAATGGCTAGCAGAGAATGAAAACAGGCCCAAGCAAGGTGCTGTTATCAGGGCTCATACCGCTGACAGGCCAGGAATCCCCTCGTGCAAGAGATGTGGGGCAGGCACTGAAGGGAGGATGCCACCGCTGGACCAGGTGTGTCAGGAGAAGTGTCAAAAACGGTCTGATGGGATTAAAGGGAGGTACGACATTAGACTCACTCTTACTAGTTGTGTAAATGTCTGGCGCTGGTGTTGCTTTCACTGTCTGTGATGCTGAAGAGAACTCCGGGAGGCAGGGCATCACGGATCCGAGGATCAGAACGAAGCAGAGCGCCAGCACCTAGCGAGGAGATATCAGCACGCAGTCAGTGCCGCTAGCCCAGCAAGCACCCCTGCCAGCGCACCGACACGAGGCTGAGAGACAACATGTGGTCAGGCTTACAACATGGTCACTGCGGTCCCCCAGAGAGGGAAAGGGCTTGCACTGCTAATCTCTGATGGAGATCTAAGAAAGGGAAGTCAGAAGCTCCCTCGTGTTGCTTTTTCTGAAGTATTTGTAGTGAATGGTGAGAACTCGGTTGATGAGAGATGCTCACAGCTAGGGAACAATTTGGGAAGGAAGAAGGCTCAGCAGAAGAGATGAAGTTTGCCTTTACCAGAGGGGGCATGACCATTGGCACAGCAGGAGCTGTGTTGGGCTGCAAGAAAACATTTTGAGAACAAGAAATTTATAAGATACCCACCGCACACAGCAAAGTGAAACTACCATCCACGCTAGGACATAAGTGGCAGCAGAACTGCAGCAGCCCATCTGACAGGATGGAGAATCCAAGGAAGGGGTTAAATTTATGCTTAGCCTGCACAGATTCTGGGATGTGTCTGTGCCTTCCGGCTGTTGGGCAGACCAGTCAGAGCTACTGGACAAGGATAAAAGGAGAAAAGATGAAAGCTCTCTGGAAATCTCCCTCTGGTAGGCCTGCACCTGTCTGTAAATTCAGCCATAATGGTAAAGCTTCAGAGTGAGATGCCAGTGCTGATCGTAAGGGACTCCGCAATGTTTAGGGAGCTAAATAGTACAAAGCAAGAGAGGACACATGGGAAGTGACAAAGAGCCAAATATTTATTACCTGGATACCCACATGTTGTGGGTGGTATATTAATTGCTGCCTCCAGCCTAGTGTTCAGCCTGAGAAAGTCTGAAGAGGAAATGCATCTGTTGATGATTTCTACTACCTATGTTCAAATTTGTTAAGTGTCACCTGTGAGGACATCTGTGAGGACAGACAGCAATTTCTTGACTGCTTTTCAGAATAGGCAACTATTTTGGAATAGCCATTCCTAAACAACACACAGAAGCTGGTACATCAAGCTACTACTGACTACCTGCGTATTCCGAGAGATGCAGAAGATCAAATGATAGCATGGTGATACTATACTATGTAAATAGTGAGTTTAGCTTTCAAGACTCTCCAGGAGTAGTTTTGAAGTAAGAAAATTACCTGTGGACAGCATGGCTGCTGAGCACATCATATTGGACGCACAAGCTACTTAGGCTCCTTATTCCACAAAAACAAAAACAAAAACAAACAAAAAAAAAGGAAAGGAAAAAATAAACTGTGAATAGATGTTGCTTGGAATTATCACAGCCAAGAACCAAGAACACAGCATTCAGAAATGGAGCTAGCCCTCTGAAACCTCTCTTTCTGTTTGAAAACAAAACAGGCTTTATGGGCAGGGAAAGAGCAGTATACTTAACATCTTGCTTTAACAAGGCTTTCAACTGGGCTTTGCAAAACAACATTGTTTTACTCTGTTTTGTTTCAGTTTAACTCTGGCTTTCTGATTCAGTTCTGGTTCAAATTCTAATACATTTCGTAACAGTAGCTCTTAGTTTGAGTCTGAGTACCATTCATCTCCCTGATTTTAAACACCTCACAATTTTGACCTCTTAAAAAGTGGGGGAAACTGGGCTAGAGGGAAATACTGCAAAACCAGTTAGAAAGATGGA